TGTACTGTGTGTGGTATTTCTGCAGTGTGTCTGTACTGTGTGTGCAGTGTGTCTGTACTGTGTGTGGTATTTCTGCAGTGCGCCTGTACTGTGTGTGGTATTTCTGCAGTGCGTCTGTACTGTGTGTGGTATTTCTGCAGTGCATCTGTATTGTGTGTGCAGTGTGTTTGTACTGTGTGTGGTGTCTCTGCAGTGTGTCTGTGGTGTGTATAATGTTTCTGCAGAGCATGTGTGAGGTTTCCTGCAGTGTGTGTGTACTGTATGTCCGTACTGTGTTTCTGCAGTGTCTCTGCACTGTGTGTCTGCTCTGTCTCTGTGTGTGGTATTTCTGCAGTATGTACTCTGTACTCTCTGTGTGTAGTTTGTGCAGTGTGTGCAGTTTGTGCAGTGTGTGTAGTTTGTGCAGTGTGTCTGTAGTTTGTGCAGTGTGTAGTTTGTGCAGTGTGTGTAGTTTGTGCAGTGCGTCTGTATTGCAGTGTGCAGTGTGTTTGTACTGTGTGTGTTATTTCTGCAGTGCGTTTGTACAGTGTGTGTGGTATTTCTGCAGTGCAGTGTCTGTAGTTTGTGCAGTGTGTGCAGTGTGTCTGTTACTGTGTGTGTGTATTTCTGCAGTGTGTGTGTGTGTAGTTTGGTTTTGCAGTGTGTGTATTCTCTGTGTGTAGTTTGTGCAGTGTGTGTGTAGTTTCTGCAGTGTGTGTGTGGTTTGTGCAGTGTGTGTGTGTGTAGTTTGTGCAGTGTGTGTGGTCTCTCTGTGTGTGCTCTGTACAGTGTGTGTGTGTGTGTATTTCTGCAGTGTGTCTGTATTTGTGTGTGTAGTTTGTGCAGTGTGTGTGGTATTTCTGCAGTGTGTGTGTACTCTGTGTGGTATTTCTGCAGTGTGTCTGTGTGTGTGTATAATGTTTCTGCAGAGCAGTGTGTGTGTTTTGTGCAGTGTGTGTGTAGTTTGTGCAGTGTGTGTGTAGTTTCTGCAGTGTACTGTGTTTCTGCAGTGTCTCTGCACTGTGTGTCTGCTCTGTCTCTGCAGTGTGTGTGTGTGCAGTGTGTGTATTCTCTGTGCAGTGTGTGCAGTGTGTGTATTCTCTGTGTGCAGTGTGTGTATTCTCTGTGTGCAGTGTGTGCAGTGTGTGTATTCTCTGTGTGCAGTGTGTGTTCTCTGCGCAGTGTGTGCAGCGGAGGGGCGGCTGCAGCAGCTCCAGCGGGAGATTGAGAATGCAGAGCAGCAGATCCTCAGGGCGAGTGCAGAGCTGCAGCAGCTGGAGGAGGCAGTTTCCCGCAAACGGGTGAGAGGCACAGCCCCCGACCCCCATGTGACCCTTCAGGAGGAGACGCTGCAGGAGCCTTTGCTGTTTCTGTAGGAAGCTTCTCAAATCACAGAACTACTTTTCTGCATGAAGTACAGATAACTACAGATCAGTGTTATCACACACACACACACACACACACACACACACACACACACACACACACACACACACACACACACACACACTCACACAATCACACACACAATCACACACACACACACACACACACTCACACACACACTCACACATCACACACTCTCACACACTCACACACACTCACACACACACACACACACACACACACTCACACACACACACACACACACACACACACACACACTCACACACACACACACACTCACACACACTCACACTCACACACTCACACACACACACACTCACACACACTCACACACACACACACACTCACACACACACACACACACACACACACACACACACACACACACACACACACACACACACTCACACACACACACTCACACACACACACACACTCACACACACACACACACACACACTCACACACACTCACACCGCTCGGCTGATGTCCCTGCTGCTCCCGCTGCAGATCACTGAGGCGGAGAAGGAGCAGCTGAGGCAGCAGCTGCGCAGGAGGATGCGCCTGCTGGACGAGCTGCGCAGGGATGCGCAGACGCTGGAGGCGCAGCTGGACAGCAGCAGGGGCCGGATGAGCCGCGCGCAGGGAGAGCTGCAGCAGCTGCAGAGCCTGCTGGACACGCTGGACCCCAGCGACCCGCGACACGTCAGTACCCCCCCCCGCGCAGGCCGCTATCTGCGCAGCGTCTGCACAGTGCCACTCTCACAGGGACACGCCGCGTCACTGTAAACAAATGAGCTGCGGTGTCTGAGACGAGCTGCAGTGTCTGAGACGAGCTGCGGTGTCTGAGACGTGTAGGGATTGATTATACCTGTATTATCTGCAGTATTTCCTCACAGCCTGTGTCTGTCACAGCTTCTTATATTTACATTTACACGCAGCTTGGTCCTGTTGTGATGCAGGTGTTGTTTGAATGTCCCTTTTCCTCTGGCAGGAGGGTGGGAGTGATGGGGAGCTTCTCACAGGTCAAGTTTGAAGGCCTTTGTTGAAAGGCCTTGTTTGAAAGCAACTGGTTTCCTTCCTCTTCTCCAAAAAGCAAATCCAAGAGCTGCTGGGATTCAAATGAATTCAGTTTTTTTAGGTTTATTTAGGATTTCAGCAATAAGCTGTTTCTGTAAGGCTTCTGAGAGCATTTTAGATAAACTGGATGTTGCATTTAGATTGTAATTTCTCTATTACAAAAACATGTCAGAATTCAGTTTTGTGATTTATGATGTACTGTAAGCGATTCTGTATTTAACTTGCAAAACAGGCAGTCCAGCACAGTGAGTTTGATGTGTGAGAGGCAGAGTTGCTATAGCGCCAGAGCAAAACAGGATCAAACATGAGCACAACAACCTGAGTGAGTCTCCCAGGAGTGCAGACTGCGAGGGCTGGAGAATACCGAGGAGGTGAATCCCAGAGCAACAGGCGAGAAAAAGGCCGCCGTGCCTTTAAGCAGTGAGCCGGCCCCCTGAGGAATTGACCACAGAGTGGGGTGGAGTTAGAGTTCTGCTTCACTCCCACATGCCCAGGCCATTGTCTCAGCGGCAGCCTGTGCTCTGATTGGCCGAGACGCCAGCTTCCTGTGTTGTGATTCAAAGATCTAGGAGCAGGAGCGGGGGCGGAGGGTAGGAAGTGAGCGGGTCGGGGGGGGCAGTTTGCGGGAGGCGCAGAGCAGCTCGGAGCCGTAGCTAGGCTAGTTAGAGCCCTGTGTCTGTGTGCGTGAGGCTAACGGAGGCAGCACGTCTGCCGGTCTCTGAGCCTGCCGGGGGAAGAGGAGCCATGCTCCCCCAGGGCTGCCCCACTCGGATCCGGTGAGTACCCTGTCCCGGGGCATGCAGAGGGGTCAGGGAGGGGCTGCCGTTTGCACACAACCTACATCTGACTTTGGAGGAGAGGATTTTATGAGGTCAGGAGAACAACAGAGCTGAAAGCAGAAGTTGATAAAACTTATTTTTCATTAGCTTTTCTCTTTTGTAACTATTGTGGGTTTATGGACAGAGAAAGTTTTAATGAAAGCATTTTTGAGCCATGATTTTGTTTACATTATTTTGGCAAGTAACTTTTTGAAACAAGGAAAATAAACAAACTTGTGTTTGCATGAAACTGGCATGTTTTAAAGGAAGGACTGAAATGCGCATATTTTAGGCGATTCCTGTCCTTTTGAGAGATTTCGTTTAACTGAGATGAGTGATTCATAAATGTTTTAGGCAAACATTTGGAGAAGCTTTGTGGCTGTGGGTGGGTTTTTGACCCCTGACCTGTTCAATTTGTCTCTCAGCCTCCATCTGTTTCTGCTCAGACTTCATTTCACTACACCAAGTAAAAAAATGGGTCGGAAAGCATGATATCTCTGTAACCTGACTTTGTTTGGTCTCTGGTTTAACAGACTAGTATCTAGAGATTACATGACAGGATCAAACAGATTGTGCAAAACTGCTTAAAATTAAGAGCAATATGTGGTGCTGATTACAGAGTTAGATGTGTGGTGTAGGTGCAGCTGCCTCGGAGTGATGGAGCTGGGGGGCAGGCGCTGGGGAGTGATGTCATCCACAGAGCATGCATTCCAGCACCACGGGAGCTCCACCCGTCCGCCGGGTCAGGGCCTCTCTCAGCACAGGGCCGTGCTTCTCTGCTCTTCATTGGTTAATCTGGGTCAGAACTGTGAGGGTCAGAACAGCGCACTGTGAGCTGCTCTGAAACAGCGGCTGAAACAGCGGGGGGAACAGCGGGTGACACAGCGGGTGACACAGCGGCCGTAACAGCGGGGGCAGGTTTGTGGCAGTCAGACCCTGTGATGAAGGTGGGCCCCTCAGGCAGGGGTCAGATTTCACTGGATGATGAACACAAAGCACTGTGTCCCCCTCTCTGTGTCCCCCGCTCTGTGCGCTGTGTCCCCCGCGCTGTGTCCCCCTCTCTGTGTCCCCCGCTCTGTGCACTGTGTCCCCCCTGTGTCCCCGCACTGTGTTCCCCGCACTGTGCTCCCCGCACTGTGTCCCCTGCGCTGTGCGCTGTGTCCCTGCGCTGTGCGCTGTGTCCCCGCGCTGTGTCCCTGCTGTGTCCCCGCTGTGTGTCCCTGCACTGTGTCCCCCCCGACTGTGCGCTGTGTGTGTCCCGCTGTGTCCCCTGTGCGCTGTGTCCCTGCACTGTGTCCCCCGCACTGTGCGCTGTGTCCCCGCACTGTGCGCTGTGTCCCCCGCACTGTGCGCTGTGTCCCTGCACTGTGTCCCCTGCACTGTGCGCTGTGTGCAGGTTCCTCCTGCAGAGGGACATGGGCTGTTCCACCCCAGACGCTGTGCAGAGTGTGCAGCAGTTATCCTGGTGATGGACAGTCTGTGGGGAGTGTGTTGAAAGCTGTGCTCAGTATGTTAGGTGCAGTGAGAGTCTTGCCTGGGACATTATTACATTATTGGCATTTAGCAGATGCTCTTATCCAGAGCCACTTACACAGGTTACAGTTTTTACATGTTATCCTTTTATACAGCTAGATATTTAGGCAATTGGGCAATAGGCAATAGGCATATTGAGGCAATTCAAGTACCTTCAAGTACCAAAGGGCACAGCAGCAGTGCCTCAGTGGGGAATCGAACCGGCAACCTTTGGGTTTTGAGCCCTGGTCCTTAACCACTATGCTACACATGATGAGAATGGTGTTAGGGTTAGGGTTAGGGTCAGGGTTTAGGGTTAGAGGGTTAGGGTCAGGGTTAGGGTTAGGGTCAGGGTTAGGGTTAGGTGAGGGAAAATCTTTCTTTCCTAAGTTGTCCTCTGTGAGGGCCCAGGAAAGAAAAAGTCACACTGGCCATTCAGTGTCTGGAGCCCTTGGATAGTCAGTTTTTTGGTTTCCTTGGTGTTGTGTTATTTGTGTGTAGGGTTGGGTTAGGGTTTAGGTTTAGGGTTAGGGGTTAGGTTTAGGGTTTAGGGTTAGGGTTAGGGTTAGGTTTTAGGGTTAGGTTGGGGAAAATCTTTCTTTCCTAAGTTGTCCTCTGTGCCCTTTAGGAAAGAAAAGTTTACCTGGCCATTCAGTGTACTGGAGCCCTTGGGTAATTTGTGTGTAGGGTTGGGTTAGGGTTTAGGGTTAGGGTTAGGTTAGGGTTAGGGTTAGGGTTAGGGTTAGGGTTAGGGTTAGGTTTTAGGGTTAGGGTTGGGGGTTAGGTTTAGGGTTAGGGTTAGGGTTAGGGTCAGGGTTAGGGTTAAAGTTTGCCTGGGTTGGGTTAGGGTTACATGTTATGTGTGTTTGTTTAATCCTCCTGGAAAATTTGAGTTTCCTAATCCAGTGTTTTTGCCCTTCTTCTTTCTTCTTGTGTCCAGTTAGTGTTTGTTTGTAGTCCCGATATTTCCAGTGACCCCAGCCCGTGGTGGAGAAAGTGGGCCACTAGGTGTGTGCTGGGTGTCTCTGTGGTTTCGGATATTGTATAAGTGTTGGGCTAATCTAGTTCTAATTGTGTTGCCTGGCATTGTATGTCACAGTGTTTGCAATAAATGCAATTGTTTGTGTCCATTGTTAATTTTTGTTTAATGAGGTATGTTGTGTTTGTTGTGTTGTTTTGATTGTGGTTGTCAAGAATGCCGGGCCTTGTGTGTGTGGTCTGTTTACAGCTGGGAGTTTACCTTACCAGGTGGTCCTTTAGGTTTTGTGTTTCTTGTAGGCTGAGATGATTCTGTAGTTCTGGAGTAGGTTGGCATTCCAGAAGGTTCCAGTTATGTTGCGTTTTATTGTTCCGTTGGCTGCCTGGCTAAAACCAGTATGGTGATGAGTGGGATGATTTTCCTTGTGTCCTGTTGTTTTGTAGCCAAGAAGGTTTTCCGGACTCCTCTGAGGAAGGATCTAGAATATCCTCTTGGTTTCAATGCTGAAAAGGGTTTTTGTGGCCTCTTCAAAATCTGTGGTTTGAGCATGGTGAATCTCAGTAGTTGGGTTAATCCCTTGAAGGTGTGTTTTGGGTGAGACTGTTCTTGTGTCAGTGTGTGTGTGTCTGTTTCTTTAAAAAGACTTTTGTGTTAGAGGTGTGTTCGGGGAATGAGGGTCCCTTGTATGTGGTGGTGTCCAGGAAGTCTATGTGTTAGTATGTGTGGTGTATTTAACGGTGATGGATTCATGGTGTGTGTTGAGGATTTGTACAAAGTGTTTGAAGTCTTCTAAACTATGTGTCCATGTTCCCCATATATCATCCAAATATCTAAAATAATGTGCTGGTAGTTTGGGGCATTTCCTAAATACAGTCTCCTCCCAGTGTGCCATATAAATGTTGGCATAGGCCGGTGCAAATTTTTGCCCATAGCCGTGCCGCTGATTTGTAGGAAGAATTCCTTGTTGAATTCAAAGTCATTCTTCGTCAGGCTGATTTCAAAGAGTTAGGAGAATTGTATCCGGGCGGCTGTTGTCCGGGTATTTCTCCATCCAGGTTTTCACTGCTGTTAGTCCTGCGGTTGTGTTTATGTTTGGCTATCAATGTCGATGGTGAATAGGAGGGCTTCTTCCGCTACTGTGGTGTTTTGATTTTGTGTACAAAATCATATGTGTCTTTAATGTAACTGTCATGTTTTGTGAGAGTGGATTGAGAAAATGGTCTATGTATTCCGCGATCCTGTAGGATTCGCTGTTGCAGTCCGAGACAATGGGTCTCCCTGCTGGGACCTCATATGGTGCTGGCCAGGATGCTGGCGGTTTGTGTATTTTAGGGAGGGTTAAATCCTTGGTCAGGATTCTCCTCCCCCTCAGATAGAACTTTGCTTTTTGTTTATGTGTTTTTATCCAGTAGTGTCTGTATGATGCTATGTATTTCCTGTGCTGTGTCTGGGTATATAGGCCTGTCTAGTTTTGTGTAATGTGTTGTGTTGTTCAGCTGCCTGTATGCTTCTTGTATGTATTGTGTTCTGTCCATGATGTGGCACTTCCCTTGTCTGGGTTTAATGATGATTTGTTTGTTGTTCCTCAGTTCTTGCAGGGCTTGGTTTTCTTCTCTGTTGAGATTGTCCTTGTCCCTGTGTGTTCTGGGGTTTAATGTCCTGATCCAGGTTTGGTTCTCTGTTATACATTGTGTAATTTGTCTAGGAATTTGGTTCTTTGTGGGTTCCCAGCTGGACGTTGGTGAGAATGGTGTCCGTGCTGTGGGTCCCCTCGAAGAAGGCTGCCAGTTTGAGTTTTCTGTGGAACTCCTGCATTTCTCCTTTGAGGGTTTCCTTCTGTTTTCTGGATACCTACTGTGGGTTAGAATGACAATCCTTTATCGAGTAGGTCCAGTTGTGCCTGTGTGGGTGTGAAGTTGTTTGCTAATAAAATGATGTTCTTATTCCCCTCCCTGTTTGTTCTTGGGCTTGTGGGGTTCTCAGTTTAAATGCGTCAGCCAGGTCCAACATCCTGGTTGCTGTATCCGTCCAGTGGATGTCATCTCGTGTGGTGGTGAAGTCGTCCTCCGGGAGTTTGGGGATGTGGCATGTTCCTCCGGATGTGGTCATTGATTTCCTCTATGTTGGCTTTCTGGCGGAGTTCCAGGTTGGAGTGGTTTATGAGTGGGATCAGATTTCTGCTGCCGGGGAAAGTGGTTTTGGCCATCCTCAGCATGGTCTGCAGCTGCTTGATAGCCGTCTTCCGTGGGTGTTGGTCCTTGTTGTTGATTCGAAGGCCAGGATCACCTTCTGTACTTTGGGGTCCACTGCTGTCTTCTCCAGGAGCGCCGCGGCATGGTAGAAGGATGCTCCAGGGTAGCTGTCGATCTGGAGGTCTCCTCTGGTGTGTGCCTGGATCCTGGAGAGGTTGGAATCCCCCAAGATGACATTGGGCTTGCTGAGCCTGATCTCCCATTCCTGTGTCTTCCTGTTAGACCGGGGGTGTCTTGTAGGGTGGAAGATCCGCTCCTCCACTCCAGCCCCGGTTGTGGGGGTGGGGGTGGGAGTAGGGGTAGGGTTAGGGTGGGGGGTGGGGGTAGGGTTAGGGGTGGGGGTGGGAGTAGGGGTAGGGGTGGGGGTGGGAGTGGGGGTAGGGGTAGGGGTGGGGGAGGGTTAGGGTTAGGGGGGTGGGAGTGGGGCTGGAATGGTCCTGGTCCCGTCTTGTGTCCTCTGGGGTCGCTGTGGGAGTGGTTCCAGTTCCCAGTCCTTCCTTTGTTCCGGTTCCCCTTGCTTCTTCTGTCCCTTGGGAGGTGGTGAGTTGGGGTCCTTCCTGGCTGTGTAGAGCCTCTTGGGGAGTGTGTCCGCCTCAGGGTCGGCCATTCCCTCTCGTACTGGTCGTGGTCCTGGGGTGCCTCGGTGTGATCCGTGTCAGGGCTGTGAATTTGTTGGTTGTGGGAACTGGAGTCGCTGTTCCTTGGTCCCACGATGGGTGCGACCGTTTCCATGGCGATGTCCAGGGTGGTTTAGTGGAGCCTTCGGCCAAACTTTTTTGGCCCACCTGGCTGCCACTTGGAATGCCTCCATCCAGTTTGTTAAGTGGGTGTTTTCCAGCTTCCTTGTGAGGCCTTCCAGGATCTTAAGTGTTCCTCCAGGATCTGCAAAGCCAGTTGAGGGCATGCCAGCTTCACCATGGTGTCATCCGTCGGGAGGCTGGTCTAACCAGGGTGGCCAGTTCCTGCATCTTCTTGTGTAGGCTGGCTGGTGGTTTCCTCCTGGGTACGCGCTGTGGTGTTCTGTAGGTGATGCGTTGCCTGGATGATCCTGAAGAGGGTCCTGGTGGTCTCCGTAAAGGTTGCCATCCTGCTGTGTGCGGGTGTGGTGTTGTGTTTGTGTGTGGTGGGTGTTGTCTGACTGATTGATGTGCTTTGTCAACCCAAGGTTGACGCTTATCAATACAGTCTATACTTACCAGGACTGGTACCCTGTGGCTTAGTTGGCACCGTTAGGTTTCCACCACAAGGCAGTGCAGTCCACGCAGCGTTAGGTGGGAGTGTCCCTCCTGTGGCGTAATGGGAATTCTTGCTTTTCGGAATCTGCAGCGGAGAGTTCCTCCAGTTGATTGGAAAGGTATCCCTGTAGTCCTCTGCTGTTTTCCAAAGCGTGTAGGTTCACACAACGTTTCGCCTTGTCTCAGGCTTCTTCAGGTGTCTTAGGGTTAGGGTTAGGGTCAGGGTTAGGGTTAGGGTCAGGGTTAGAGGGTTAGGGTCAGGGTTAGAGGGTTAGGGTTAGAGGGTTAGGGTTAGAGGGTCAGGGTTAGGGTTAGGGTCAGGGTGTGTGACAGCTCTCTCTCTCTCTCTCAGGTGCATGTGAAGGGTTAGGGTTAGGGTTAGGGTCAGGGTGTGTGAGGTTAGGGTTAGGGTTAGGGTTAGGGTTAGGGTCAGGGTGTGTGACAGCTCTCTCTCTCTCTCTCAGGTGCATGTGAAGGCTCAGCTCGCCAGTAAGACTCAGCAGCTGGACATGATGAGCAGGAAGTACCGGGAGCTGGAGGGTCGCCTAGATGACATGCTCACCCGCATCGCCAAGGAGACAGAGGAGATCAAAGAGCTGGAGCAGCAGCTGACTGAGGGTGAGTGAGAGTGTATGAGTGAGTGAGTGAGTGAGTGAGTGTGATTTGAGTGTATGTATGAGTGAGTGAGTGAGTGTGTGAGTGTGTGTATGTGTGTGTGTGTCAGTGATGGCTGGTGAGCTGGAAACAGGGGAAGCGGAAACACTACCTTTAAATCTATCAGTACTTTCAGCCTGTTCCCCTTCATCCT